TAAATAGAAGGGAATAGCATGAGTCATATTGACATAGAATGAGTCATATCCGCATAGCATGAGTCATATGTAAGGGAGTGAGTCATAAAGGCATGGAATGAGTCGTATGGACATAGAATGAGTCATGTCAAGGGAAAACAGTGGAATGTCTCGGATCCTCCTAGAATATTCTGCGCCCTGAATATTCTCACAGTCCTCCTGCTTTGATGCTGCGCCGAAACTGTTCTCCTTGCATCAGCAAGTGCTTTGCATGATTGAAGTCAATGTCGTATATGTCTTCATTGTCGATTCCCAGCCAGTTATTGAAGATACTGTCCACCAAACCTTCCATTACCGATCTGTATATTCCAAATGTAGTGGCTTGAAGCTGGTACTTGTGGTACAGTTCAGGCCTGGAAGGGATACGTTCAGCGCGCAGCGACAGCTTAGTTTGGCATTCGAACGATCTCCTAGTCTGACAACGCCGCCCTCTCGCCGACCAGATTCCTCCACCGCCCGGCCCTGGTGATCGACTCATCGAGCAGCTTCGCACTGCCGAAGTCGCATGCAGCTGTAAGACGCGCCTGAGAACATCGTCCGACAAAGCGTTCTGCAAAGTGTGGATGCTTCGCCGCGATGTACGTGAGCTTCCTATGCCCTTCTTGATGCTCCTTCACGTGCTGCTGTCTCTCGCAGGACCCGGGGGAGGGTGTTGCCATTTGTCAGGGTGAGTCCTTCTGGCAGGTCACACAAGATTTCAGTGGCTAATGTACCCTTGAAGTCCTTCGGAGAGGCCCACCTGGTGATGCACACAGTTGTCAGTGAGTGCAGTTTTTGTCGTTTCCGATCGTGAATCCCCGAACGGCTCCTGGTCGACGGATTGGGTGACCGTTCGATGTTCAAGGTATCAAGAGAGCATTAGGGTGCCCGCCTGGGGCATGAGCTTGTATAATGAGACTAGTACTACTCTCTTCTGCTGCATCTGGTGAATACACCACACTAGCTCATTGTAGACCGTGACTGTATGAGGAGGGGATGATATATTATCTAATAATGATTTTATTATTCTTGTGTAATTGGTAATCAACAGTGATTGGGTATGGGAGGGGTGAGATGCATGGTAGATGTATTACTTTCACCGTCGGATCGTCGAGATGATCAGACCTATCTGATAGCAGATTACAGAGCTGTCTATGGGGTGGATAGTTGGGCTGTCTGAAGGATCCGACGGGGGGAAGAAATGAACAATTGCTGGTGTAATCCACGGGGTTGAGAGCTAAGTCATCTCTGGTGTTAGATAGGTGCACATATCTTGTGGATACTCCGAGCAATCCCTGGGGTGGATGAAAAGCGGGAAACGCAGTGATTACCTGTGGTATTTCAGTCTTGGAATGGTCTTCTCAAAGACCTCTGAGCCCATGCTCAGGGTCAGAGTTACTGGAAAGGCAATGGAGCTTGACTGAGAGTCATCTGAGAAACAACAAACACCCATGTAATTGCAGTTTTTCACTTGGATTGTACTTTCCTCAATCACATATGCTGCTATAATTGTTGGTAGTGCTCCTGCTAGTGTCCCTGGACCTCACTATTCATATTTTCTTTATTATTCTCTTTTTGTTCTGCAAGGAGGGTCGACCCGAGGTCGACCTTGGCCCGACCCGGCAGCGACCCGGCCCTCATACGACACTCGGTTCAGGGCCAGGTTCACTGGATGCCTGACCCTCCACCGAGGTTTGGTTCAAAGGTCAGGAAATTATGCCTGACCCGGCCCTGACCCGAACTTCGGCAACTTTAGGTGGCAACGCCCGCCACGCGTTCCGATTATAGCACTGTGACGTCACGCGTTCTCCTCGTCCGCCCCCTCAATCGTCGGCGTCATGGACGGCTGGGCGCGCAGGCTGCATTCAAACTCCCATTTTCTCTCGCTCACGTCCCGGAGCAACAATGGACGGAGGCAACAACGACAAGACCCATTTGACGTTCCAAAATGTCGGCCTCGCCTTTTCCTTCATCGTCTTTGACGCTCTTGTCTCGCACTTGCTCCGGCTCGGTGTCGGTACATCACTCGTGACGGCGGCGACGAGATGCATTATCCAGCTGAGCGTGATGGCGCTCGTGCTGGCACAGATATTCGAGACTGGCAATCCATGGGGGATAGCCGGGATTGCAGGTGAGCAGATTGGCTGGGCCGAGGTGGGAGAGGTAGCTGACCGGAAGGCATAGGCTTGTTGAATCTTATGGGGACGCTGGAGACCGGTAAGCCTTGCCTGGAGTTGACAGTGCTAGAGATGCAAATAATGCTATCTAGTTATCAACAAGGCGAAGATGCGCTTTCAGTATATGGTACATCACGTTCTTACTACTAGTCAATAAGGTTCTAACATACGTCTCAGTTTCCTTCAGTTCTTCTTGCCATGGTTGGCTCTACGATTCCCGTATCAATCATCGGCACTCGATTTGCTATGGCAATCCGACCATTCTGGATCGCGGACCAATACAGTGAGTACCCCCGGAAAGGGAATATCGTCTGCGCAGGTCTGGCGAACCAGGAAATCCAATACTGACGTAGGCTCATGAAGTACCTATTGTGGGCATGCTCTGCGGGAGCACCATCTCTGGAATGGTCATCGCCGTGAACTATGTCCTGAAGGAGCTCCAGTACGTCTTACCGCATCTCCCATTCGTAATGTTCCAAGCTGACTGCCTTTCTTGACACCAGTGAGAATAGAGACAAAGTCGAAGTGTATCTCGCCTTCGGCGCGACGCGCTTCGAGGCATGCAAGCCAATCGCAACCGACGCACTTCGTCTCGCACTGACGCCTAACGTCAACCAAATGAGGTACAACCTTCCCATCTTCTCTCCTGCCGCCCTTGCTCACTAATCATTACCTAAACCAAAGTGTACTGGGAATCATCTCCATCCCAGGCATGATGACCGGCGCGATCCTCGGCGGGTCCTCCGTGCAGCAGGCCGCGCGCCTGCAGATGGTTATCATGTTCATGATCTCGTCATGCACAGCACTCTCGAGCATGTTCATCACCGTGTGCGCGCTCGGCGTGGTGGTGGATGGTGAACACCGCATAAGGGGCGATCGGATCGACACGAGGCCGCATGCGGTCTATCGTGCGCGGGGGAGGCTGGTGGAGGGCGCGAAGAGTGGTGTGAATGGTGTTGTCGGGAGGGTGAAGGGGCTAGTTGGCGGGAAGGGGGGAGAGGAAAGAGAGGAGGGGGAGAGGGAGCGGTTGTTGGGGTGATGATACAGTCCGAAGGTATTTGTGTGTATTGAAACGTGTTGTCTTAGAAAGTACACAAAATAGACGGATTTGGATTCTTTCGGCGAGGGTATGACGCCTCTATCGCTTATTATTATCTGACTAGTTATGGGTCAAAATCATCGCTGATTTTTTGTTGGCCAGGTAACCGCGGAAGAGAGGTCTCTTGTGATCAACGCGCTGCGCTCCCGCTGTCATCAGATAGGCAGCCAAAGGGCATTATTATGCTATCACATCGGTGATCCATTGCCGCCACAGGCGGTAGCTGGAGGCAACCGCAACGAACAAATTTGTTTATGACAATGTACAGACAACTATTCGACGCGCTGCTCGAGAACGGAGGGTACCTCCGTCCCACTAAGCTTTCAGATACTGCGCCACGATCTCGCCGATCTTCGGCGTTATTCCGTTCAAGACTTGGGCAGTCTCATCCTGGCAGAACGGGTGAGACCTCATCCAAAGATCAATTATTTAAACCCACCCATATGCGATGCTCGCACTCCTTCCCGACGTCACTCAGGACGAAATCGCTCGGCTCGGCGATTTCATTCCACACGACGTAGCCGCCCCTGATCTTGTCGACCGCCGTGGGGTCCGTGTCGAGCTCGGGAGGGCCCAGAGTCGCGTATAGCACCTGGCGGGAACCTTCTTCGGAGGTGAGCATGGGTAGCTCAAGACGTTGCCCGTTATGCTCGACCGACGGGGCGGGGAGGTTCACGGCTTCGCGGCGCAACTCGGTGTCGCAGAATCCCGGGCTGAGGGAGGTGACGATTAGGGGAGATGTCGGTGGGAGGCGTGCAGTGAGTGCGCGGACGAAGAAGATGTTGAGCACTTTGAACTGGTTAGTACTCTATCAAGCAAGGGTGCAGATCCGTACGTTTAGTCAGAGGATACAGTTTGTCTCCTCTGGGTGATGAGCGGTAAGTATCACAGTCCATGGCGATAAGTGTGGACCACTCACCCGCTCATATACTGTTCGTCATTCAGCTTCTCTAAGATGCTCGGAGACTGCCTGGCTGTCTCGTCTATCCGGATCGCGGCATGCGCGCCACTGGACACAACCACCAATCTGGTCTGAACGGAGTGCTCCTTCGCTGTCTCCAACAGCCGGGGGAGGAGAAGCAAAGAGCACAGCGCGGTAGAGAGGTGATTGACTTGTAAACTGACCGGCCATATTAGCAAACCCGAATGGAAGGGGAGGTGCGTAGGACGACTTACGTGGTCTCCCACCCTTCCGGTTTAGTGTGCCTCCATGTTCCTATGGCGGCGTTCATAATGAGATAGTCGAGACGTCCTCCATCTTTCTCGAACTTATCGGCGAAGTCAAGGACCGAGGAGAAACGAGCCAGGTCAACCATCCATAGTTCGGCGTTCTTCTTTCCGGACGCGCTTTCGACAGCTATACGAAAGGTGGTCAGCGAGTCGCGTTATAGCATTGCATGGTTGACCGAACCCGCCACGGCTCTGTTGCCTCGCTCTTCATTCCGGCAAGCAAGGATGACTCTGGCTGCATTCATGTTTGCGAAATGTTTCGCAGCTTCCAGACCGATGCCCGTGCTTGCGCCGACGACGATGACGGTCTTGCCTGAAAGGTCGGCTTTGACAGCCAGGGGTGGTGCCCCGGCACGATACTTCATAATCCACTGCAGGAGGGTCGGCCTCATTTCTGAACCTGGGTGAGTGGTCGAAACAGACGATCTACCACCCTATTTATACTGCTCGAGCTTCATATCCATGCGTCTTAGACAGAAGCTATGCTTTGACCGGTGATTCGGTGATTCGCCCAGCATTAACTGGGAATTTCAATATGGCTGAACGTTAACCGACTATACGGGATTTTGCAGGCGACTTCAACTTTGGGTTGCGAAAGGTTTGTCACGCGCTGACCCTGTTGGCCGTCCTTTCGTATGCTTCGCCTGTTATATTCGTTACATCATAGAGAACCAACTGGCAGACTCGAACGCAGACATGGATACCATTGTGAGTATCCATGCTCTGCTCTGAATATTCTACACAGGAATAATTATTTGAAGGCCCTGCAGATCCTTAATGGCGTATAGAATCGTTTTCGCTCACCTGTGGCACCAATCTTGCACCAAACAGTATTCCCCGATTTTGGTGGAGTTAAGAGCGGACCGTTTCCGAGCCATCCAAAATAGAACGGGATAGCGTGGCTGCCATGTGAGCAACTCCATTGAGACCTGAAGCAGCGTTGAGCACAGAGAAGGTACGTCAAGATACGTTTCATTGAGGCATCAGTAGAAAAAGATAATGGTAATCCCAAGCCTAGATTACGCAGAGGCGAAGAAATAACTATACTTATGGGGGAAACATGACAGGGATTACTTCTTGATGGTAAATGCACTACGGATAGTGGAAGATACTTTTAAAAGCTCGACGCTCACATCTATGATCTGCGTCGTCAGCGTTGTGGCCGCTTCTTGGCGGTCGTATGGGCAGAGAACATTGATTGCACAAACCAGTAGAAGAGATTGATCTGGGTGAGCTTGATGGCTTCGGGCGATATGATTGGCTGACAGTTCAACTTAACGAAGGTGAGCGGCTCTGTACTTGAACATTAATAAGCCGTACTGGGCTCAAACCGGCCGCGGTAAAGACCGTTTCAGCCCTGCTCCGCAGCTGATGGAGGAGGCTCGACGCATAGGTTGTTAGGCCAGGAATATCTGGACTGAACGAACAATATCTCAGCTCGCCCGGGTCCCTCATGCAGTCGCGTATCACTTGCGTACTCTAGTGAGACATCAAGGATTCTCTATTGCTGCACAACATATGTCTCCGGACTCTATACTTGCTTCGACTTCCGTTACCCTCAGTTATTTGGAGGTTGACTTACGCGACAAGACCCTTCGGTGCGGGGGTGCAGTACCGGACAAAGGCATATAAACACCGTAACAATACCTCACCTAACTCACTCAAAGGGATGAAGCCTTACTATTCTCTGCGTCGTCGCCGCCGCATCGACCCTCGTCTTCGCCTCCACCTTGTCGGGTCTGATGAAGAGGCAGGGCAGTATACTGACCCATGTACGGCACCACTCTGTCCGATTGCCAAGCCACGGTCAACCACTGGCCCGACTTTGCTGACTGGTCCCCGACGTGTTATTATGGGACCAGCGAGGCCTGGCGTCCGGGCTGCAACCGTCCGACAACATATATGCTGGCCCGAGCACAGATTGAATCCTTCCATACCCAGGCTACGTGTATACCATTTGAAATCGTGGCCTTTGGGCCGGCATTAAGATGGCAGTACAACACTTGTTAAACTGTGGCGACAAGGCGAAGAACAGCGAAGATCACGGTTAGTGGCGTTATCGACGTCAATGAAAGTGGTCGCATTTGCAGCTTCAATGGCGACAGCTACGGAGACTGCATGGATCAAATTTTCCTCAAAAGAATTGTACAATCGCTTACTTCAATTGCTTTAGCTCTAGACTTAGTTATTTTCTGCCCGGCACTACTCACGAGCCGCCCCAGACGCGTGAATTCAATCAGTATATTCGATGATCCATGTCTACGTATTTCATGAGCAGATCCATCATCCTGCCACTCACTCTGTTACGGAATGTCACGCAGGGTGTGAATCATTTCAAACTAACTCGATTAATACTCTACTTCAGAATTGCATCAAGGAAAACTTGCTCTTGAGCGACCGGTCCCTGTCACTTACTTGAAGTCACGGTGCAGAGACGGGAAGCAAGTGTACCCAACCAGGAAATTCGGTATCATTGTCGCAAAGTCAAAGACAGTGATGAGGCATCGGCAGATTAGCCGGTCATCAGGCAATATTGTAAGTGCCCTATAGGTCCTACTTTTAATCGGGTACACACCGTGATAAATGGTAAGGGCGAAACGTCGGAGAAATGGCCTCTAAATTGACTGGAACATAATGTCGAGATAAAGTTCCTACATCGTCAGTTCCGCACTCAAGATCTACAATATGACAGTTCCAATAGCATCTCCTGGCTTCGTAGCTCTTATAGAACAACACCATTTAATAGGGTTGCTATGATGCTGCTCGCCGTCCTTTTGAGGCGAGTCCCTTTACAGACCTGGTCACCTTCCCCCTGTGACCTTATTAGAATATCTGATGGGGTCAAATTAAGGATCAGGAGGGATCATCGCATCCTTGTGTCGTTCCCGATGACCTCCAGCCACCGAAGGCACAAGCCTGCATAAACAGGAGAGAGAAACACGTGCAAGCACGCGCTCAATGGAGGCTAAATTAGGTTACGTAAAAGACTATGTCATCGCTTGCCCCAGCTTTTTCCAGGCCACGATTCGCCCGACATTTGCCCCAGGCCCTGCCCGTGACTATAAGACGTCTACTCACTCCCCACCCTGACTTTTGCCGGAAACCAACTGTATATCTTTTACTTGACTTTAAGTCCCCTGTTCGTCGTCGTCGCGAAACATGGCGTACGTTGCCACACGCGGAGGACCGGGCACATCTGCACCGTCGGACGGGTCGCGCACGATAGTGATACATGACGCTCAGCCTCGACCTGGTAGCGGCGGAGGAGACGCCGGGGACGTCGGCGATGGGTCGGGAGTGGTGGGGACGCTCAGGCTCAGGGGCGCGCCTCGGAGGCAGAGGGAACGTGTACGGTGGACAGACGACGTAGTGGATAACGAGCATATGGGCAAGAAGAAGTCGAAGAGTGCGTGTTTTTTGCGACCTTGTGGATCCGGTTACCTCTCGTTGTAGCAAAGAGCTAACATTGATCCTAGTTTGCTGCATTTACCATAAACCCAAGAAATTCGACGAGTCGTCCTCCGAAGAATCCTCGTCAGAGTCAGACTCTGATACTAGCTCTGGGCCTTCACTCGGCCGTTCGTACCGGCATAACAATCCCTACTGCCGACACCACCGGCACCCGGAAAGAGAAGACAGCGAGGGGTCGTCGACGAGAGATCCCAGTGAAGCATCGACGGTCGTTGTGCATGACCTTGGAGAACATGAGAGTGAGGAAGAGGTGAACGCATATGAGAGGATGCCCGCAAAGGGGTCGAGGAAGGGAAAGATGAAGGCGGAGGGGAACTAGGCGCGATTGCTTCGTGAGTGAAGGGCCATATATGGATCAAGGTATACCCTGACGTGGCCTTTTAGTTGTATTTTAGACTCCTGTGTGTATACGCTATGCGTTGTACATGGTATATCGCTGGTATTGTACATTATGGGTGGATAGTCTGGACATTGTACGTATTGGCTTATAATCAGAGATAATCGGGGCTTTCGCAAGCCTTGTATTCTTTGAGGAGCCCCTCCGCCGCTTTTTGGCTTGGTGTGTCAACTAGAATACTTCGTGCGGTCATGGATGGCGATCCGATCATTAGCAAAGGTTGACCCTTTGCGAAATATCACATTCGTCCTGTCGGTTTGGTCGAACAGTCACTCCAAAGTATGTGCCTGTTCAGTATCCCGACTGCATCGTCTGACTCTTAACTCAATCATCACGGCTACTCTCTGGATGAAGTACTCCAGATCAGATGGACGCAGGTCTGGAAATGCTCCTTCTTACATCTAGAGGAAAGTATTCCATTAGATGTCGAACCCCTATGTTCTCGACAGCTCCCGACGCCCTCCCGCCGCGCATGGCATGAAGCGGCTTAGTCCGCTAACTCGAGTAGGCTCTTGACGTACTCTCCTCGCGGGACCATAGAGTGCTTGAACGGAGCGGGGTGGCTGGACAGCGATCTTCAGTCCTTCCCCGAACACCGAAGCCCATACAGTCATCACACACCTCGCATAGCTGAAGGTGAAGTCCGGCTCCACAGTGACCTTGTTCCCGTTCTCATCCGCGCCCGGTAGGATATCGAACACGCTAAGCAGCGTCGCGATCGTGATGAACAGCTGCGAGACGGCCGCGAAGCGCCCGGGGCAGATGCGCCGGCCGAGGCCGTACACGGCTTCGAGGTGCTCTTCCGCGGTGGCTAGGTCGCCGCCCTTTACGCCGGTTGTGAAGCGTTCGGGCGTGAAGCGCATCGGGTCGGGGTAGACTTCGGGGTTGTGGAGGATTTTCCTAACGCGGGGTTAATAACGTATGTGAGAGGCAGAGAGGGAGGGTCACGGACCAGAGGTTGCCGATGACGACGGAGCCGCCGGGGATGTGGTAGCCCCTGAATTCGTCGTCTTTGACTGTGACGTGGGGGATGGCTGGTTATAGCATTCGTGAGTGGACTCTTTCTCTCTATTAACACGAAAAGATATACCCATCGGTGCAGGAGGATTCCACCTATCAGGTCAAGGTTAGTATGCCACGCAAGACGATGAGACGCTGTACCACACCTCATGACTTCTTTGACGATGGCATTGATGTAAGGTAAGGCGTCCATGTCTTCGAAGCCGGGGAGGCGGTCTCTCCCGACGACGCTGTCGAGCTCACGCTTCGCTTTAGCTTGGACGTCGGGATATGTGACCATCGCGAGTATGAACGTGCGCAAGCAGATGCTGACCTGTGGATGGTGTGTTGTCAGCTTTGTGTATGTGTGGGGGAGGAGTTACGCGGGGCACTTACTGCTTCCGTCCCAGCTGTACATTGGTCATGCCAAGGTCAGTAAGGAGCTGGCTTGGAGAACGGGGGAGGCTGTCCTACCGAAGTAGACGGTCCCCGCGGTTGCTCTCATCATCTCCAGGTCAGGATTCGGCCCGGCTTGTGAAAGCAACTTCGAAACGAATGAGGGTTTGGCAGTTCCATGTTTCTGTCGCGCATGGTTTGTGACCGGGAACAGGACAGTGTGGGTGTAGCGCTTACCATCTCGCTGACCACCTCGTTGAACGGCCTGTTCCGCGCTTCTACCGCGCTTTCTTTGCATACGCGTGCTTCCCTCTGGAAACCGCCACGCCCTGGTACAAGCCACTCTGGGATGTAGCGCACTTGGGGATCCTGTTTTAGTCCTGCTGCAGGCGGTAAATCGCGCGGGGGAACTCACTTATGGGAATTACATCGACCTGCGTAGGGTGGGGATCAGTATTACATCAATCCTGGTGTATATGGTAATTTGCATGGACGTACCAGGTATGCGCCCGGGGTGGCGACTTTGGACCAGGCCATGATGACGTCGTCTGCCATGTTGATGAGTTTCTCCGTTCGCGGGTTCATGCCCATGGCGTAGGTGATATCCATCAGTACTCCGCCGACATGCCTGTTAATGGATCTCAGCTTTTATGTCCATATTTAGCAAGGTAACCGATACAAACATGTGGAGGTGGTGGAAGAGCTTCTCTGGGGACTGAATGACCTCGTGAGCGAGTTTGTGTGCGGCACGTGCTTGGGTCTGCCGGAACTCGGGCACGACGAATTCTTGGAATTGCGAGTGGAAGAGCTTGCGGTGGTCCCGCCATTCGTTTCCTGCCAGGTACGTCAAGCTTGCGCTAATATATAATGGGAGGGGACTATTCACCATAAGAGCGGAAAGCGAAGATCCATTCGAGGTCCATTCTATGGATTGATAAGAGGTGCGTCACGAAGCGATCTGGCTGGGACCTCACAGCTTGTTCATCATCGTCGAGTGAGGACGGTCAGAGTAGTTGACGGAGCGCTTGTGGAACAGCTCGGTGAGGGCTTCGAACGAGCTGACGACGATAATGTTTTTGCCCAGCACCCCGAGGCGGAGTATGTCGCCTGCGGCAGGACACGGACGTCAGCTCATCAACCTTGAGTGTAATCTGATAAGATCGCGCACCGTAGGTGTCCGCCATAGCGCTGTACGCCAGGGCTTCCCGTTCCCTCGGGATATCCGGAAGGTTGCCGATGAGAGGCTTCGGTGGTGGGCCTGGAGGATATGGGAGGTTGGTTTGCGCCCTCCGCCATAGGAGGAGGCCAAGCAGGAGTACGACGGTAGCTATGGCGATATACATCGGGAAAGGTGGTTTTGGAAGCAGCAGGTACGGAGAGAGGATCTATGTATATTAATACTGACGTGCTCTGTCCCACTAGTTATGGCATCCCGACGCCCCGTTGTATCTGGTGATTGGATCGGAGATATAACTTCGGCGCTGGTTCCATTCGTCAATGAATGGTCTATCAACGGCGTGGGTATACGAGCGACGAGGATGATCTTTGTCAATGTCCTGCGGCCGAGGCGAGATCAGCTCGAATACGTCCAAGGCACAATCAGACGCAACTGCAAGGAAAAGATCAAACGATGACGCTGCCCTGATTCGATAATTCGTCTGACCACTAACCTCCAAGGTTGCTCAAGCTCACTAAAGCAGGGAGTTACCGGTCCCGGTCTGATCGAGTTGGAATAACCAACCTTTGAACGCCTCGCAAACTCTCCTGGATGCTGTCGTGTATCAAACTAGTCAAACAGAGCCACATTGTAAGATTCCCCGCGCTGTCTATTCTGAGCACAGATTGGATCTCTCGGCTATACACCTCGCAGTCTGAGGCCGCCCGAGGCGCTTCCAGGTATCGCTATCCTGGACGGCGTACTGCACTGGCATCACGTCCTCTGATTGGCCGCTCTCGTCACGGAAGCGTTCCATCCATATCCGGAAATCTCCTTCGCGGTCACGTGACCTAAGCCTTCAACCACGGCGGCCTATTGGTATTACCAGGTCCTCGTGTATCCACGAGCATGAGGACCACGTCGGTGTCCACAAATACCCGGGATTCTTCCCTGCAATGGTTTCACTAACAGTCAAGTCGGTAAATTGGAAAAGACAGGGTTCCCTGTTCATGTCGAGCGGTCGTCCGCGGATCCAGCCTGCGCACGCATCAGCACGGTGCAGCACGCTCGGCGCGGTGCTTTCGTGGCAGTCCTCCGATGGTACTCCTATCTGTAATTGAACCCAGAAGAAAGACTCGGACCAGTTGAAATTAACAGTTAGGCACTACATACTGCGGACTCGTCGGGAAGGGTCCTCCGACGCTCCGATGCCACACCCGCCTCGCGGGTACGACTCAGAAACATATATGAAGACCTCGGGCGGGATAAAGGGACCAGCAACCTCAGATAATTAGGAGTCATCTCTCCCCCCGTTCAGGACACGTACGATATAAATCAACATGACCGACACCATCCTCACTATCCCCGACACGCTGCGCAACTGGCCCTGGCCGCGGCACTGCAACCCGCACTACGCAGAGTGCAAAATTGAGTCGGCCAAGTGGTGCGAGGAGTTCCACGCGTTCAGCCCCAAGGCGCAGAAGGCGTTCAACCTCTGCGACTTCAGTGAGTCTTTCCTTCTTACATCCATTCCTACACCCGATGGCTCACAAGTAGTCTTTGCGTGTACAGACCTGCTCGCGTCGCTGGCGTTCTCGCTCCTGGACAAGGAGGGCTGCCGCGTCGGGTGCGACCTGATGAACCTCTTCTTCGTGATCGACGAGCACACGGATGTCGCGGATATCGAGACAGCAAGGGCGCAGGCTGACACCGTCATGGACGCCCTCCGGAACCCACACAAACCTCGCCCGCAGGGCGAGTGGATCGGCGGCGAGGTAGCAAGACAGTACGTCGCCCCCCTCCCTCCCTTGCCTCTCCTCATCTAACCCACGCAAACCAGGTTCTGGGCCAACGCAATAAAACACGCCACCCCGACCGCGCAGGCGCGCTTCGTGCGGACGTTCGACGCGTACATGGACTCGGTCGTGCAGCAGGCGGCTGACCGGTGCGACAATTTCGTGCGCGACATCGCGGGATACTTCGCCGTGCGCCGCGACACGATCGGCGCGAAGCCGAGCTTCGCGGTGAACGAGCTGTATCTGAACATCCCGGAGGAGGTGATGCGGCACCCGGTGATCGAGAAGCTGAGCGAGCTGTGCATCGATATGCTGATCGTCGGGAACGATCTGTGCTCGTGGAACGTCGAGTACGTTGGCAGGCTTGTGTTGATGACGGTATTGACGATGGGTCCAGGCAGGCACGCGGCGACGACGGGCACAACCTCGTGACGGTCGTGATGCGCCAGTTCCACATGGACGCGCAGGAGGCGATGGACTACATCGGCGCGCTGCACGACGAGCTCGTCGACGAGTTCCTGCAGACGTGGCACGCCATCCCCACCTTCGGCGGCCCGCTCGACCGCGAGGTGCGCATCTACTGCGACGGGCTGGGCAACTGGGTGCGCGGGAACGACGCGTGGAGCTTCGAGGTCGGTTCTGTTTATTTTATTTTATCACGGTTGATGCGCTTTGCTGACGGTGTTGTGCGTGGCAGAGCCAGCGGTATTTCGGGCTGCAGGGCCCCGAGATCGAGCGCACGCGCAAGTTCCGCCTGCTGGACAAGGTGCCGATGGCCCCGACGCTATAGACGTGTCGTATGATACTACCGCCTTAGCAGTATCTACTATGTATATGCCCGCTATGAGTGCAGCATAAAATGGGATAATGGGATTGGAGCGGGCCTTGGAATATATTATATCTTGCCATTTTCTCACTGTAAATGCGAGTGGTGCTATAGCACCGGGAGTTTCTGTAGTTGGGTAACGGCGCGACCTATCATTGCGGGCAGAATATCTCGCGGTTGGGCGAACTCTTTCCTGTCCTTTGAACGAGCAGAGGGAAGTCTGGGAGACATTTACCATGGTAACCAAAATCTACGAGACATGCAGCTCTCATGAATTGGGGGGAGAATATTCTCTACAATGTTTGATAGTCCTATTGTCCTGCGGGGGATATCCTAGAAAAATGTTCTCCCCTCGTTACATGTTCTCGCATGTCCGCCACGGGGAGGGCGTGCGGACAGAGTCCGCGCCATCCATAAGGAAGTGAGGAGAGGTAACTCGTGTTCCCTGCCTTCCCACGTAATGACATGTGTAAATGTAGCTTGAAATATATCCATTGTGCAGGAAGGTGTAATGATATTTAGAAGCGCGTTCAGGATTTCTGATATTTCTGCCGTGCGAGTGGCACGACACCGCTAACCTGCGTTCAGGCGATCACTGACACTGGGACTGAAACGAGGCCGAGAGGCGGTCTTTTATCGCTGCTCATCAGAAGGTTAGACAAGTTCGTCTCACTATATAATGGTGATGTGTTGGTTCTTCCAAGGCAAGCCTGAGCCTCCGGAGCCGGAGGTATGGTCTTCTCCGTCTCGGATGCTGCAGTCTGCAGAGCATGTACAGTATTAAGCAAGTAGCCATCTCGCCTGTGTGCAAGACGCATCGTTCTGACGTATAGCGATAAGCGTGTGTGAAACCGACCCCGACATCAGGAAAAGCGCGAAGCTCTAATCGCCTATATATGGCGCCTGATGAGTCTGACCAAGCCTGGCAAGCTAGCTCGGCTGAATTGACTACAAACATTTGTAGTGGGCATCACCCTGACATTTCTAGTGATGATAAGTATGAATTTGTAGTTGGACTACAATCATCGTGTATTGAAGGATGCAGGAGCCAATCAGAGACCATAAATCGGTCGACGCGGCTTCCACGTTTAGACGCATTTAGACGCATTAGGACACATTTTCCTCAGAGACTCGATTTCGGCTATTTCAGGCTCGTTAGGCGGTCTGTGGAGCCTGAAGTTAGACTCTCAGACGATTCCGGGTTTCACTGATGAAGTGGCTGTGCTACGTCGATTGACAATGCGTTGCCCGAGGTCCCTGGAATCCTCCCTCGGCCGTGTCCCCTCGTTTCAAGCTCTCGATACTGTGCTGGCGCCAAGATAGGCCTGCCCACTGCGCGTTAATGCCCGATAAGACGGAGGTCGCGAACCTGCGTTCGTTAATGTCGGATGTGCACGATCGGCATCTGTGGACCGTTGTGGACCCCGCCCGACTCGGACCCGACGCAGTGGCACGCCTGCAGGCAGATAGCAGATTTACGCCCGAAGGTTATCAATCCTGCCAGTACAGCCCCCTGAATCCTGACTTGTGAGTGGCTGAATCGAACGCCTAGTACTGTCGACTGCATATCCGCATGAAATCTGCGCTGCTAGTGTGCCCGGCCGCAGAGATGAGCGCAGTGCTTCGGCGCTCGGCTTGGTGTGTGGTTCGCGATAGGCGGTCCACGCCGACCGACCTGTCAGACGGCGAGAATGACGGCACTTTCCCACGGCGTTGACAGCGCTCGCGAATCCAAGTCCACAGACATGGGCGGCACTGTACTATGCCCGATCGGTGGTCTGCGCCTGCGCTGTTCTATCTAAGCTTGTGGTTGGATAGCGGGTACACAGCACGATTGCCCGGCGGCGTCGCATCAACTGGCCCTCCGGAGCAGGAACAAGGTCAGATGGAGGACGGATTCCATTTTGAGATGTTCGACGAGTCTCGGTGGTATGCAGCGTTTTGATCTATGGAGCTGCGCGTTTCTCGTATACATACCCGCCTCCAGCCCAATTCGTTCATCTAGACATCCGCCCAGCACACTAACACCAACACCATGCTCTCCCTCTCCCCCTCGCTCGCGCTCGTCCTCGCGCTCCTGTCCCTGGTGGTCTACAACGCCGTGCAGCGCGCGCTCTCGCCCGGCAGCAGCAGGCTGCCCCCCGGCCCGCGCCGGCTCCCGCTCATCGGGAACCTGCTCGACATGCCCACGGGCAAGCGGTGGGAGACCTTCGCTGCGTGGGGCGACAAGTACGGTACGCCCCTCCCCCCCCCCAAATCCATTCCGTCCCACTCCTAATTCATGCACACAGGCGACGTCACCTCCGTCTCCGCGCTCGGCACGACGCTCGTCGTGCTCAACTCCCTCCCCGCCGCGACCGAGCTCCTCGAGAAGCGCGCGCTCGTCCTCGCCGACCGCCCGGACTCGACGCTCAGCGGCGAGCTGATTGGGTGGAAGCACATCATGGCGTTCATGCACTACGGCGAGCCCTTCAAGCACTGCCGGAAGCTCATGCATAATTTCCTGGGCACGGGGCCGGGGCTCAGGAGTCTCCACCGCATCCACGAGGAAGAGGTCTGCCGGTTCCTCAGGAAATTGCTGAAGAACCCGGGGGACATGGAGCACCTCGTGAACCAGTGCGTGGGATCCTCTCCCAGGGCGGGGCGGTGCTGATGTGTTTGTGTAGCTTCACGGGCGCGCTCATCCAGCGCGTGATGTACGGCGTGCCCGACGACGGGCGCACCGACTTTGTGCAGACCGCGGACCGGGCCGTGACGGACCTGTACACGCACGCGAGCGGCGAGTTCCTCGTCGACGTCCTGCCCTTCCGTACGTGGCGTCCTGTCATCGTTATCGTGCCGCGTCGGCTGACGGCGTGATGCGCAGTGCGACACCTCCCCGCGTGGGCCCCCGGCGCGCGCTTCCGGGCGCGCGCGCGGGAGTGGGCGGTCACGTTCGACGCGATGGTGGAGAGGCCGTATGCGTGGGTCAAGAGCCGGCTGGTGCGTGCCCCGCCCCTCCGCTTCCTCGCTTGCCGTTTGTGACTGATGGACTATGGTGTATTAGGCCGCAGCGAAGGACGTCGAGCCCTCCTTCGTCGCGGACCTCCTGCGCGAGGGCGCGGAGGACGAGTTCACGATAAAGTGGAGCGCGGCGAGCATGAGCGCCGCGGGGCCCGACACCGTGGGTCCCTCCTTCCCTTCCCCTCCGCTCCTTTTCTCCACCGAACACAAATACTAAACCCCCCCCCCCGCTCACACAGACCGCCTGGACGCTCTACGCGTTCTTCAAATCCATGACGCTCTTCCCGCACGTCCAGGCAAAGGCCCAGGCGGAGGTGGACGGCGTCACGCTTGGCGCGCGCCTGCCCACCCTGGGCGACCGGGCGAGGATGCCGTACGTGGAGGCGCTGGTGCTCGAGGTGCTGCGGTGGTTCCCGGTCGCGCCGCTCGGGTTCCCGCACCGGCTGGCGGAGGATGAAGTCTACGGGGCGTGGGCGCTGCCCCGCGGGACGCTCGTGCAGGCGAACGTGTGGTGAGCCGCGATGATCCCCCTTCCCCCGCCCCCCACCGCGGTCGGCTGACGGGTGGACAGGAAGATCCTGCGCGACCCGGCGGTGTACCCCGCCCCGGACGCGTTCGACCCCGCGCGCTTCGTCGCCGCGCCGGGGACGGAGGCGCAGCCGAGCCCCGAGATCGGGTTCGGGTGGGGACGCAGGTCAGTTCCTCTCCCCTCTCCCCTTGGCCGCTCCCCTTGGCCGCTCCCTCTGTCCTCTGTTCTCGCTGACTTGCACGCGTGACGTTTGGTGATAGGAGCTGCCCCGGCCGCCTGATGGCGCGCGAGGTCCTCTTCCTGGCGGTCGCCACCGCGCTCGCGACGATGACCTTCCGCAAGCCCGTCGTGGGAGGGCAGGAGGTGGAGATCGACTTGGGGCGGAGCGCGGGCGTGGTGAGCCGCCCGACGCGGTTTGAGTGCGTGGTGGAGGCGCGCGCGGGGGCGGGGCTGCTTGTGGGGGAGTGAATAAGTGAGTGAGTGAGTGAGTGAGTGAGTGAGTGAGTGGTTGGTGGGGTTGGGATTGGTTGTTTTTTCGGTTATGATTATGCTGCCGTCTGAGACGGTGTACTATGGCGCTGGGTATGGTAGAGTAATTCTGGAATTAGTACTGCGATGTGTCTGGTAATTGTTTGGTTATTCAATTCGATCTCGATTACATCGTCCTGGATGTGTGCTGTGTACTCGGACTCGAGGCAATCGTGCGCTCGGAGTCTCGTTTCTCCCTAGTATGCGTCGCTCGTGGGTGTGCAACGTGTGCCTTGCTTGAATACACTTCGTGATTGCTCAATGGGGTGCTGTTTCGCTTGGAAGGCTGTCGGGATGTATTGACTACGGTGGGATGCGTGCCGGGAACTCTCACAAATACCTCGGGAGCTATTGTGGAAAATTTGTAGTCGGTTCGATGCCAGGTGCAGCATGTGAGTACAGCATATTATTAATTGTAAGATGAAATGATTTCATGGAAGGTTGTCAGGATTGTGATACTGTGAGAGTGTTTGTAGGACGTCAGTTAAGATGTTTACATGGATTGGAACCTGGGCTATAGCGCCTCCAATACATTTTCACTCAATATGATATCCCATCATGATTGAATAGTACAGAGTCAGTACAGGCGGGTTGAATGACAGGCATGATCAGCAGAATCAATATCACCACGAGATGAGAAGCCGGGGAAATCTGCGATCCGACAGGCACGCAGTGGTGAAGTGATGGGGGCAGCGCCACCCCGCCCGAACCCGTCGTCCGATTGCGATCCACGCTGGCGATGTGTCGTGCACAGATAGCGTTGCATTTCCGGATGTGGATATGTGATGTCGGTGCTAATAGATCGGGTCCGTCCAGTGTGGCTTCTCGCAGCCTATCAGGATGCTCAATTAGGACCCCTGATTATCAGTATCGAGGCTTTGTGGAAACGCGGACAAAAGTTGGCCATCTGAGACCCCTCAGGCCTGATTTTTCGCGGACAAAGCGACCGATTTTGGGAGCCCAGCGGCCAACCCTTATTTTTCCCGCGGACATCACCTGCCCATTTTGGGCAGAATTTCTCGGCATACGCCGAGCGCGGGAAGATTTGAGCGTTACCCACGCCACAATTCCCAAATATGGAAGGCAAATCGAGCTGGCACCTGATTTTTCGCGGACAAAAGGGCGTAAAATCGGGAAATTTGGCGCGGACAAAGACGCTGAATTTTGGGCATCTAAAATAAAGCCTCGATACTGATTATCAGGGGTCCTGCTCAATTCCTCTGCGGTCGCACACTCGACGCGCAGCTTCCGGACCGCCGATGCTCCTTCCAAGCAGACGCTCGGTCGCCAGCCAATCCCGGGCCAGGTGGTATTCGTTCTGATTCGTATTCGAGTTGCTACCGTAACAATGCCCAGTCCGGATTTATCACTGCTCTGTTATTTAGGTCGACTGGCGAGTGCCCAACAGCAGTATCGCAACTGACACGATGGAGACGTTCGTCCTGCCCCCGCTTCCCCCGCGTCTGAACCCCTTCACGCACACGCTCTCCTCGAATGAATTATCGCTCTTTGCAGTCGCCGCCTCGCTCGGCGTGCTCACCCTCGTCTACGCCCTCCGCAAGTTCTTCACTCGCTCGAACCTCAAGCCGGTCCCCGGCCCGCCGGGTGTGCCCATCCTCGGCAACCTCTTCGACTGGCCGTCCGAGTACCAGGCGGAGACGGTGCAGGAATGGAAGAAGGTGTACGGTGTGTGCTCTGGCTGTGTACTACGATGATAGAATAATACTCATCTGAGTGCAGGCCCGATGGTCAAGCTGGGCATCCTCGGCAAGCGCATGATCTTCCTCACCTCACCTACCGTCATCTCAGAGCTCTTCGCCAAGCGCTCAGCGGACTACTCGGACAGGCCACGCCTTATCTTCTCGCAGGACTAGTAAGTCTTTCTTCATCTGATATCGTTTTTCTCCGTGCTCTATGCGAGAGTTCTCCCCATCTATTGGTGAGAGTCTGCAGATGCCGCTGCCGAGCCTGGTGTTTTCGTGATCGCCTCCCCGAGCCGTTGCTCTTGGAGTGCATGGAAGAGCTCGGGTATCATTGTCTCCACCTGCCTCAGTGTTCACAGCGCGCGCTGGCAGCAACAGGATGCCGAACATCCACCATATTTCATCCGCAGCGTCCCTCAGCCACCGGGTATGTCTCCCTTCACGCTCCGGGAGAAGCTGTACCGTCTCTGACGTACCTTCCCAAAGTGCTGTGGTGTCCAACAGAGCACGCTGCAGCTCACATGCGTGCGCCCACCTCCAGAAGATCCGATCACGGCACTACACCCCAGCCAACGTCCAGTTGAAGAAGCCCGCTGGAATGGCTCAGCTGAGAGCCGCAGCTGTTGGCTTGCTGAATCTTTCCAGGATCTATAGCGAGGCAGAGTTAACAAGTGCGGTGGCCCCTGCGAGGCGACGCTGGCATGCTTAGGCGACGGCGTCGCCCGAAGTGAAGCACATCCTGGCGTGCATCTCCTCCTCCCGCCTTCCCTGCATACTTAGTAGTGAAGCTCGGTAATCGTCGGCTCTCGAGCGCTCCTATTCACCCGCCGCCCTCCTGTCGCACGTCTTGCCCGAGGTGGGGCTTGTATCGAGCCCAATTCGCCTTCCAGTGCTGGCACGCCTGTCCTGGTGTTCCGGTGTTTACCTGCCCCCGGATGTCTCGCTTCCTCTGAGATGCCACATCGGCTCCCAAATGGCGAGTCCGCGCTCGGACTGACTGTTCCGCTCCCCTCTGCGGCCGTGTGGATAGGGCCCCGGATATCCACTCGTCTTTCCACGCATACCTCCGTCAGCCACCGTCACACCATCTCGCCCAGCGTAGCTCGGCATTCCATTCCCAAGCCTCCTAGTGTCCTAAAGGGCGCGCTGCCGCTCGGTCGGACGGCGTGCTCCCGCTGTCACGGCGGGCGCGAATAATCCGGTCCCGCTCATGCTCGCTCCTCCTATCTCTCTCCGCCACCGTCCAAGTCCCACGTGGTATACTCAACGAAGGGGTGGTCTCCACTAGATCCTGACAGATCCGCGGGGCCCGATAGTTTGAAAGGCGGCTCGTACTGCTGCTGGGATATCCCCGCGGGTGATACTCGCACGTGGTTTTGTGGTCTCTCGACGTGGGGTGCTTCCGCGGTGAATTCCTGTCGAGTGGGAATCCGACAGACTGGTGGTTGTAGAGCCGTGGCTTTAGCCGATACGAGGACGGTGGATGATCGGATGAGCGACATTGGGGATGCTGCTGGCGGACCACCGGTCGCTCGAGACTGCGGGCTGTGGTGCCACGCTCCCCTCTGCTGCTCGCACGCAAGAGGTCTTTCGGGATGAGGGCGCGTACAAACATATCCCGTGCTTGCTTTCCTTTCCTCCTATTGTCTCCCTGCCTCTCTATAATGTATACTAACACTACATGTCTCAGTGTCGGCCTCGACATCATGCACCCAATGACGCAGTTCGGCGCGGACTTTAAGCAGCAGCGCAAGTTCATGAAGGAGGTCCTGCACGCGGACGTCATCCGGAAGCACGAGGACCTGCTTAACGAGGAGGGTCGGCGGCTCCTGCAGGGGATGTGGGATACGCCGAAGAACTTTGACCGCCACCTCCGTCGGTGCGTATTCTGCATGCATTGACTGCACCAACATTAGGATGGAGAGCTGCTGATGAGAGAATAGGTTCTCCTCATCACTGAGTCTGAGGCTGGTTTACGGCTTCGAGGCGATGGACAACGACGACCCGCACGTACTCCTCGCGGAGGAGATGATGCAGACGGCGGAGTACGCCGTCATCGCGGGCTGGGCGGTCGATTTCATTCCGTGGTGTAAGTGGCACTACAAGGCTATCATGTACTATGGAGTACTTGACATGTAATCTGTGCAGTGAGGTACCTCCCCGCTTGGCTTCCCGGCGTCGGCTGGAAGAAGCGCGGCGCGTACATCCGAAGCAAGGTGGATGCCATGATCTCGGGGAACTACGACGAGGTCATGCAGAAAGTGGTGAGCCTGCCTTGTTCCACTCTTCCTTATTCATACGCTCACTAAGGCGATGGTGTCCAGAAATCGGGCGTGCCGTTGCGCGACTCGTTCGTGACGATCAACATGCGCCTCGCGAAGGAGGGCAAGAGCACGTACGACGAGCAGATGATCAAGACGACCGCGACGGCGATCTACGGCGGTGCCTCTGATACAGTGCGTTGCACGTTCCTTGCTGGCACAAAGATTCACTGATCTCTCCCTACAGACTGCCTCGGCAGGCTGGTCCCTCATCCTCGCGATGCTCATCAACCAAGACGCGCAGCGCAAGGCGCAGGAGGAGATCGACCGTGTGACTGGCCGGCAGCGCCTTCCGCGCATGGCGGACAAGGCGAGCCTGCCGTACCTCCAGGCGGTCGTGTGGGAGGTGTTCCGGTGGGCGCCTCCCGTGCCTGTTAGTGCGTATATCCCGGCTCTCTCTCTTGTTTTTTTAGGTGCTGAGGCCATGGTATAGCGCTGCCGCATCGCGCGAGGTATGGCGGGGAGATTGACGGGTATGAGATCAAGAAGGATGATACGGTACGCACCTCCCTGCGAGTCTCAACTGTGATGGAACATGACGCGTGGTTGTGCGGGTAGCTGATCGCGAACCTCTACTCGATCTCGCGCGACGAGGAGTACCACACGGACCCGGAGACGTACGACCCCGACCGGTACTTGGACGGCGGGGAGGAGCGCACGCCGTACTACGTCTTTGGGTACGGGCACAGGTCCGTGTCCTCGCGTTTCTCCCTTTCCCTTCTCGTACTGACTGTGTGCAGACGCTGCCCCGGCGCGGACATGGCATTCGCGCAGCTGTTCCACCAGGCGGCGTACGTGCTCTCCGTGTTCGACATCCGCCCGGAGGTGGACAGCAAGGGTAACGCGATGTACCCGAAGCCCGAGTTCGTCGGGGAGATGGTGCGCCACCCGAAGCCGTTCAAGTGCGTGATCACCCCGCGGTGGGAGAACGCGGATCTGCTGTTCCAGGAGGATGTGAAGGCGTAGGCATGTGGACGGGAGGGGTTAGAGTGTGGAAGCGGGACTGAAAGCTTTGGGTAGTCGTTTGGTCTTGCCTCTGGCAGCGGGTCCAGTACTTCTACACGATAGATAGCATAATCTGTAACACTCCTTACTTGCAACATCGAAAAGAGCCTTTTCCTCAGAACATTGAGCCTACTGTTGGTAAGGCTCGGCTGTGAACCACCCGTGACCGTGGTAGTCGACTGTTCTGGAAGCAGGTGTTGTAATATACGAGAGCAGATAATACTTCGTTTTGTTAGGGTGAAATCGGGTGGGCGAGGAAATGCGAGGTAGGACGAATATCAAGGCGAATTGACTCGGAGCTAGATCACATTGTGTGTCGTAGCGATATCCCTCAACAAACCCCAGAACATGGGTGCTGCTCAATAGGTACGGATTGACTGATGTATTCAAATAAGGGTGTCTCTCAAATCTCATTAATATTTGCCATGGGTCAGTTGGGCCAGTACTCATTCCAGCCGCAGAAGCCTGAGGCGGCAAAAGCTGCATTCACGAGGCGGTAGTCAATTTAACGATTTAATTCATACTCGTAAAGCAGAGTAGTCGTTGAAGCGATATCTGTTAAGTGGGGACATGAGGCTCAGGCTAGCCCTAAGTTGAGCACCGCCCCCCACCCTCCGACGTCGTCCAGACGGGGTAACTTGTCCCCGACATAAGCTAGATACAAGCCTCCTCAATAGTCAGTAGATAGGCGAGCAATCCTGTGTATAGGGAGGCTAGTGAACACTTCGCTGGCGTGTGAGGGGAGGGTCCCCCTTGGTTACCTCGAGCAGCCGCATATAATCCAGGACGAACACGGCAGGTGATCTTCCACCTCCTTCACTTGGATCACGGTGGATCACACTTTCCCTTGCTTCCTTACGATCATGTTCAATCCTATTCAGTGGGACGCGACTGTAGCAGCCACCAGACGGCAAATTCAAACATCTCATCCTGCAGGCCAGCGTGAGTTTGTCTCTGTGAGTGATGTGGCAGAGGCCAGAGCTTCTGGCGCAACGCTCGGAAGTCCTGTCAATCTTCGCGATACATCAGCTTCGGACGCGAGGTCTGCACCGCGGAATGACTTTTTGTTCAAGAATTATACACCGAGTTAAGCAGATATTGGCCACCCAACTCCGGATAGTGGCCATCCTCAAGCTGGACAATATCATACTTCGAGATGTCAAGCAGGACAAGCCCCTACCCGCAGGAACTCAAAGCGTGCTCGAGCTGACAGTATTGAAGACTTTGGTCAAGATACGTATACATCTGTGGACTCCCCGGGAACTCCGCAGACGCCACAGCGACGAAGGTCAACAGAAGAGCGTGTGGCGGTAGTACTACAAGGAATCAAGGATGCCGGATTCGACGGTTTGGGCGATTTTCCTGAAGACATTACTTGACCCAACTGTCAATTATAATCAAGTCAAATCCGTCTATCAGTCTCTGGCCTGGTTTCTTGGGGTGACGAGTATGTGCATAGAAAGAGAGATGTGATTCCATCCCGATTTGGGGCGATTGCCATATTAGGTAGGGCTCTTTTCTCCCTAATCGGGTTATGGGGGACCCTCTGCCAACGCTATCGGAAGTGTTAAGCAGCCTATCCCCGACGAACTGTAAGTCTCTGGCAAGCCAAATCTAGCGCATCTAGCCCAATGTTTAGATTCAGGAGCATGAAACAGGTGGCAAAACTATAGCTTCCCTAGCGCGCAAGATAGACAATCCAGATAGAGCGGTTTCGTGTACCGACAGCACCACAGGCGACGGATCGAACACGCTGCAGATACTGAGCATGTTAGTTTCAGCGTGATTTTCCCCAGATGTACTGGCTTTGATGCGCCTCTTTACGCAGATTGACTCGCCCGGTATTGCCAACCGTCCGTGTGGCGGAAGTCCGCGAACGTCTGTGAAGCGGATCCAATCAGGTGTCGAGATAGACGCACACTCACTGATTCCCACACCCTAACCCGCCTCAAGCCACAACCATCACCGCGCGTCGGAACACCGACATGGACTATTTCGGCCAAGCTTGATGAAACGGCGCAGCTGGAACGCGAAGATTTTTATCTTAGCGTCTTGTGACTGGAGGCTCTGCTCTGCATATCAGCCTGTGAGTCATCACCCGTGCGTAATAGTACCAACCCCATCTCCGAGACACTGGTAGGTTCATTCTCGCCCGCGCCTTCGAGAGGTACTTTCCTAGCTGACCATGACTTTGCATAGCGTAGATGCTTCTATTTCTTTCTGTTTTTCTGAGATAGACATATCATTGAGCCAGCCTTGCACCGCAGCATTGCGTTTAACACCGGATCCGACGCGGACACTCCATTCTTGGCGTTAACAGCTACATGATACGCTGAATAAGAGGCAATGCGTACCACCATCAGTCGGATTCCTCGTTCCTCGTAACGCGTTGGTCTCGACGGCAGGCGGACTGCCCATTCATCGTGTTCCAGGCACGATGCAGCCACTGGGCGGTCGTGCTATTCCTTAGATCTCGGATGACGTATGCCATGGCGGAACTGTAACCACTAAGTATGATTTATTATCTGGTGTTTGGATATAAGAATGGAATACGGTGTGCAGTACCACACATACTATTGCGACCTAAATCCCCCGCGTCCTCTTGCCCTCTTACTCTTACTTTGTCCACATTTATTCATTAATAGTAGTTGTATCCAGTAATGTCTCTCATCCTCAACTTTCTTTTCGTTTCTTCTATCTACCTTCTCATTCTCGTTCGTGACTATCTGCGGCGCCGTCGTCAAACCCTTCCTCCAGGACCGAAGGGATTGCCTTTCGTAGGAAATATCCTAGATATGCCCTATGACAAGCAGTGGTTGACATTCGACACATGGTCCAAGCACTATGGTATGCACCTCAACTTATATCGCATTATTGTACTCTATTCACCACGATCCAGGTGACATCGTCCACATCAATGTACTTGGACGACATATGATTATTCTCGGATCTTTTCAAGCCATCACGGACATCTTCGACAAGAAGTCCTCTATATTTTCCGGAAGACCCAGAAGTACTATGCTCAACGACCTGTTAGTCTGACTCACTATTCGTTCCAAGCTACGTGACTGATCGTGTCATCTGCAGTGTGGGCTGGGACTGGAGTTTCACCCTGATGCCCTACGGCGACGAATGGCGAAAGAACCGCCGCGCCTTCCACCAGCACTTCCAACAGAGCGCCGTGTCCCGCTACAACACTATCTACCTCCGCGAGTCGCGGAACCTACTCGACATGCTTCTGACGGAACCAGACGGCTTCCTGCACCACCTCCGACAGTATGTCTGCTCACTTCACATCACAATGGAATGATCTGTGACGTCATCCCCAGGACGTTTGCCGGCACTCTTATGGGCTCTGCGTATGGTATACGCGTGTCCAAGAAAGATGATCCTTATGTGTCCATTGCGGAGGCTGCCATGCACGAGGCTTCAGAGGTGACCGTTCCGGGCGCGTTCCTGGTAAATGAACTTCCCATTCGTAAGTCACTGCAATGTCTTTCGTTACATGTACTCATATATTGTAAATTAGTCCGATACATACCGAAGTGGTTCCCAGGAACGCGTTTCCACAAGGTGGCGACCCATCTGAAGAAGCTCTCCGACGAAATGCTGAACCGGCCGTTTGAAGCGGTGAAGCAGAGCTTGGTAAGCAGACCTATGGCAGAAGTACGGACTTGCCTGCTTACTCGGTTTATTCAGCGTGACGGCACGGCGGAACCATCAATCACCGCAACATTGCTCCAGTCTCTTCCCGCCGACGAAGACAACGCAGAAGCTGAGCTGATTGCGAAGCGCGTCGGGGCATCAGCATACGCAGGTGGGAAGGCCTTCGCAATACGTTTCGCGCAGTCTGATAAATAATTTTGTTTCTCCGCAGCTGGCTCTGATACCGTGAGTACCCTCCCCCTGGGACTATTGACGGGGTCCTCACCTATTTGACAGACAGTAGCAGAATGCCATGTATTCATGCTCGCCATGGCAATGTACCCGGGCGTCCAGAAGCGCGCGCAAGCGGAGCTGGATGATGTGGTAGGACCGACCAGGCTGCCTGATTTCAGCGACCGGGACAGCTTACCCTATATCAACGCATTGATCAAAGAGCTCTCGCGATGGCAGCCTATTGTGCCGTTAGGTATGACTACTTGGCGAGTGTCATGTTGACAGTGCTAACAATGACGCACCCCAGGGCTGCCCCATGAATCGATGGAGGATGACGAGTACCGTGGGTACTTCATCCCGAAGGGAACAATCGTCTTCGGGAATACCTGGTAAGTATCGTGTCTTGTCTCATGCTTGACAGCATTCAGTAAGTGATGTAGGTCGATATTACACGACCCGGATGAATACCCTGAGCCTGATGTCTTCAAGCCGGAGAGGTTCTTGAATCCAGATGGGACACTCAATCATGATGTTCGGGATCCCGGTTTTGCGGCTTTCGGCTACGGCAGACGGTGCGGAGCTCGTATCGTCCGCTATAATGATAATGAAGACTGATATGAACAATTTATGGACTTCCAGGGTATGTCCAGGGCGCTACTTTAGCGACAGCTCCCTGTACTCGATAGTCTCTTCTGTCCTTGCAACATTTGACATTAAGCCGAAGACCGACAAATACGGGCGGCCTGCGCACCTCGAGCCGATCATGATGCCAGGTATCATTTCGTGAGTGTATCCTCCGTCCTTTTGGAGTTGCTGCGGTATCTCATGTATCGGCTTCACAGACTTCCGGCTCCGTTTGAATGCGATATCAAGCCCCGTTCTACGGCGGCTGTTGATTTGATCCGGGGGTCACTGGATGACTCTCTCTAGATTTTTGTGAATTCTGCTTATTCTATCATTTACATGCCCTCAGGTTTTATTCTCTCGGTCGCTTCTACCAGGCGTAATGGGTACTGTAATGTATCGTTAGGACTTGTGTACTAAAACGATTGTGAAAATCGTCGTTATTACTCTGTCTTGTGTTGACTATACGTTACCCTCGATCAAGTCCGTCAGTGTCAGGAATACTGAAGATTCGATGAGTTATCCACTTATTCCGATGTGGCGGGGTACGGTCATGCGCTCTCTCCGACTCGTGGCCACATCGTGAGAGTAGTACGCGGTCACGTGACTGAGAGAGACGTCGTCCCTGACACAGTGACAGTGGCAACGCGTCGGAGAAGCTCCCCCAGATAAGAGACAGGTAGGATGATACGCAAAACCATGTATTACACCGTTTTGCCTGGAGGCACTGACAGTCTTACGATACGTCTTGACTAGTAGCTTTACGTTCGGTATGTGAATCCGACGACAGTTGTGATGAATCAGTGTTGACCTAGCGTAACTTAAGTTGCAGATATGGACGTACTCCATCGTCAATGGTCCCGGCATTCTTGTGCTGCAGTAACAACCAGGATACTCTTCGTCTATTCCAAAGAACTTGTCACGCATATCCGAGATGGCACGATAGGAACGATCTATCCTAAATTCCTAGACCAAGACGATCCAATTCTTTTCCCCGTGCTCATTATCCTGGTCGATCGAGGGACAGGAGAAGGAACTTTCCCAACTTGAAAAGAGCGCTGATTAGATTGTCGCGTGATGATAGCCTCGTGGAAGATCCGGAAGCTGCCCAACGAGCTTCCATCCATGATCTTCGAATGGGGACGAGATATTCAGAACCAATCGCCCAGGGAAGGGGGTGAGCCAACCAATGAGCTCGTGGTATCGCACGTCTGTCGACGTTAACGGTATGCAGCGCTAGGTACCCCGTACCTATGGACCAAGCCAACGCTCCCTAAAGTGAATTCTGTCGAAAAAATAGAAGCCTATCTTTGTAGGTTGGAGACGTCCCGATCGACCTCACCGTAGACCTCACAAGGTTCGCCGATCCGAGACCTGGGAGAGAATGGACACTGCTCGTCGAGCACATGCATAGGTGGCGTGGCTTCGTGCTCAAGAGATCATGCCGTGGCTTCTACTCCCTCCTCCACCGCCTAACATGAGACTCTGCAAATGTACACGTCCTGGAGTCTTTGCAATGGCTTTCACTGGGACTTGTCCGACGGCAACATATTCCTGGGCGGGGCGCTCAAGCTGACCACGCTACGCCTCGGGGGCACCGAGATACCCCTCTGCAGACCCGCGCTCACGCAGCTCACAACACTGGACGTATCCATGCCCGGTTCTGAAGATCTGGAGTGCTAGGAGCTGCAGGAGATGCTACTTCAATGCACGCGTCTGGAACGGCTCGTGTTACGGGGAGAGTTTACGCTGATCTGCGGTGGACTCAGCATCCCACGACACACGTCGCGACTCTCAAACATCTGTCGATATCTTCCCCTCGGGCGGGGCGACTCTGCGTCTCGCTCCACCTACCGAAGCTCCGGATGCTCGAGTTGGACGGGCGGTCGATAATCCACTACGAACTTGACCTGTTTTCCGCTTATTTCGTCCAGAAGAAGTCAGAACGGCTGCGTACGGTCAAGCTGCAAGACTTCAGCGAGGGAGACTTGTGGTGGATGTTCGATACGGACATCATCCGCGCGAACCCTCAGATCGCTGATCTCGCGTTGTTCGGGTCATCGGTCGACACTGTCCTGCGGCTCCTGAGGGAGCCACGAGAGAGTGCATGGGAGGGCTACAACACGGACACGCCCTTGCCAAATCTAACTCAGCTGGTCATCGGACCAGCCGTGCCACCCTTGGTGAAGGACTTGGTTGCGTACCGAGAGGCTTCTGGTCATCCGCTTGAGTTCCTCGGGGTTCTGCGAGATTGGGTGGATGAAGAGACGAAGGCCTGGCTGGAGAAAAGGACGTCGGTGGGTCTATACTCTGACGACCACCCTGAGATTTGTCCAAACATGCCGGGCCTGACGAGTACGTCGAGGACGAGAGCGGCACTTGGTGTGACTGCGAGTGGTGGGAAGTCGAGGAGGACGATGATGGGGGCGGATGGGGGGAGATCCCTCAGCAAATGCCCCCTCGCTTGATGGATAATGTATGCAGCTGATAACGACTCTTCTTTTTAACACCGTCTCGGACGGGCCGAGGCAAGTCTATTATTGCGGGATACTGCAGTCTTCCAAGGCTATGTATAGGACGGGGCGCTCTTCTCCCTTCCTGCGTTGGGTCGCAGTGCTCGTATGCGTCCTCACGTTCTCATTCCTGTTCAATCACCTGAACGGAGCCTCGCCTGATCCGCGTCTTGACTACTGAGCCATGCAAGAGCTGTCTTCGAGACATGGGCAACTTGGGGGATGAAATAGACATCAGTCTGTACAGACAAACACGTACCGGCTTTTCCCAGCCAGCCTTTCCGCACCGTTACCGCTCCGAGATCTTACCGTACCAGGTAGAAGAATTGCTATTACGCGTCAGGGTTAGAGACAGCGGTGGTATGCAGCGGAATGCGGCGGAAACATGACGTACAATCTGCTTTTTCATCCTCAACAGTAAGTCTTCTTCCAATGACATACTTCAAGGTGATCACAACATGCGGTATGGGTCAGTCCTAGATAAGCGGCCTCGAACCTATGGCTACTCCAGCATCTCAGTGTTTCCGCCATGATTACTGAGCTTCTCTTTGCAATTTTCCTCGTTTTCGCGTCTCTTTACTTCAGCAGCCTGAGGAAGAATCAGATTCACAGTATCAGAGGTCCCCACCCGGAGTTCTTCTATGGTGAGTGGGAGATTTGGCTCTGCCGTGAATCTATCCACTCAGCTCTGTAGGCAACGTCCGTCAGGCTTCACGAGGAAATAATGTACAGCTCATGCTGCAGTGGCAAGAAGAGTTCGGCGCTGTGTTCCGGCACCAGAGTCTCATGGGGGTTGGTACCAATATCCTTGCGTCTGACCAAGTGTACGTCATCAGGAAAACCCTCCTGAGCTAATTATGTCTAATTATGTCTAATCCTGCCTAATCATGCAGGATTAGCTGCATTATGCAGTCGTATCTAATTAGACAAGTTAGGTTTGTCCCCTAGCTAATTAGACATAATTATTGCCCATTAGACAGTATCCTGTCATATTAGACAGCAGTTATGTCGCAATCACATCATATCATATCCCAGTATACCATGAGGAGTATTCAGATATATATTCACAAATGTAACTACAGACAGGCATGTAACTGCAATCTCTCATCCCTCATCAGCCTACAATATCACTTTCCTCCACAAGCAGGCTAAGGAAAGTTCCCAATGGCCAATCCAGGTAAGAGAAGGCATCAACATAGTACTTGTAAGGGAGATCATTTGGACATCAGAAGACACCTGCAACACACTACAGACCACCTTGAATACAGACCCTAGTACGAAAAGATATGGCCTCTGTACAGCATCATCAGCCTCATGCATGCACGACAAGGAACAACCACTTACTCAAGGCAGGTATTCAGACACAGTCAGCAAAGCAGCACAGCCATAGTGACGAAGGGGGTCACACAGTCAGACCACAGCAACAGCTTGATAATATCAAGTACATACCAATCCCATAAGCTTATGAACTTCTCACAAAACTGCAAGCCGGCCCCGATTGCATCCACCAGCATAAACCCAGGTGTTTGTGGCTTCACTCCCCCAAAGGAGCAGTTCACAATCTGCACTACAGTTGGACCTATACGTCAATGTGCTACATGCAGAACTTGACACAGACTGACCATATTTACTGCAAACCAGTGCATGCATCAGCTGATGCCTGACGGCACATTATTAAGTGAATGTCGTACTTGCAGAGTCGAGTAGGACCCGGTGGCGGTTGAACCGGAGGCGACAACGGTGATAAGCCCCAGCGATCTTCTGACCCCCGAAATTGCGAATTTGACACACCATACATCCCCTCCAAAGTTTATTCGACACCACCTGTCGAACCTCTTACGCGACAAGTAACCGACGAAGGGTTCTGGATTTAATTCCGGACCTTCTAACGTCCTCAAGGCAGGCGCAGATCACCGAAATGATTTAGCTCCGCTGCCAGACGCTCCGAAGTCACCCGGAAGAATATCTTTGTGACTAATTATCTCCGGGAACGGCGGAGGCCCGCGTCGCAGTGAGTCATTGGTATTACCACTCCCCAGTCATCACTCCCCTTCGTTTCCGTCAAAGCGACCGAGTCAGCGGACGTAAATCGACGGCCGGACGGAACGTATCAGTCAGCAAGCGGCCGGAGCTAATCCGCACGTGATCAGCCTGCAGTACCGCGTGATGAGGCACTTCAAGCGAGCATTGACGCGTCGAGGCTACCTCTAGGACCCAGGACGAGCATGTGGAAACACGGCAGGATCGTATGGGACATGGTATAGCGGTGGGCAAAGGCTGAGTAATTGTGTGGGATGCGGAGCATATTTGTTATTTAACTCCGGGCGGACGCAAAACCATTCCAATAGCATAAAAATGTATAGAGCGTAGTGGAAAATCCAAGCTTTGTACTTCACCCCTCAGCGTACCAGAATTATCGTCTCAGCGACCCTCGGAGTCCCTTCGCGTCGGACTTAGCGTCTACAAAACAACCCTAGCTTTGCCAATAGGCCGGACTCGTCGAAACTAGATAACTCCGCCAGCGCATATCGATCCAAGTAAGCTCCGGATTTAAAGTATAAAATTCACCAAGCGTCTGTAGGCAAGAGACTATTGTGTGGGTTCAGTGGAACTCCCCACCCGGGCTACTGGCGAACTTCGGAGATAAATACTCCGGAGAATCGCTATACTGTTTGTTTCAGGCCTCAAGATTTTGTTTGTTTTAGGTTTTCCTACGGGCTACCCTACGGCGTCTAACTTCTCCCCCTCCCTTCGAACTTAAATATTACCCTTCAATCGCCTTAGACCGCCTACACCCATACCGCTGGTGTTTTAGGTTTATTTCTTTTGGTCTTTGGTGTGTCGTGTGTAGTGCCTATCAAC